TTTCCGTTTCCGGTTGTAACGTAACAAAATGTGGAAAATTTCAAGGGGTCTGAATACTTTCAAGGCACTGTATATTCCTATACTGAGGACCTAAGAGATGGAGAGGCTGCTCTTTTTTAAGAAAAGTGGATCAGGTGTTTCCTGGTGGAAGGAGCCTGTCTCTCATGTGAGATGCCCTGGAAATACAGTTAACAGGTAAATAAATAACTGCTTTTTTTTTTTTATCATACATTTAAAGAGTAACACCCATTTTATGTGGGGGAAAAAAATACTCTCTTGGTGATCAATGTATATTGCAAGGATTTAAACTTTGCCTGCTTAGGCTATATACAGTTCGGTCCATATATATTTGGACAAAGGCACAATTTTAGTTTTTTTTTTTTCTTCAGATATTTACTAAAACATATTCAAGCTATAGTTTTATAATGGCTTTGGGCTGAAAGTGCGCAAACTCAAGTTTTATTTGAGGGTATGTCCAAATATATATGGACCTAACTGTATATGTAAAAGTGAGTAGGGCAGTTATACAGGTTCCCGCTCACTTTTACAGCACTAAGAAGGAGACCCCCCCCCCCCTCCACCCCCCCCAATCTGACGAATGAGTCTGGAAGCAATGAGAATTTTGTTATTTGTGGCTTTGGTTCTCTGTTTACCTGGCCGATACTGGCAACTAATCAAATCAATCTGTTCGATCTGCTGCCTTAGAGGGCAGTGGAGAACGTATATTGGGTCAATGCCCAGGCAATCACAAGGGATGCTGTTCATCTCTTAACTTGCCCTCCTGAGGATTTACCTCCCTTAATGACCAGGCCTTTTTTTGCTGTTTTTGGCGCTGCACTAATTCAACTGATAATTGCGCAGTCATGCAATGCTGTACCCAAACGAAATTTACGTCCTTTTTTTCACACAAATAGAGCTTTCTTTTGGTGGTATTTTATCACCGGTGCGCTTTTTTATTTTTTGCGCTATAAACAAAAAAAACACGAAAGTTTTGAAAAAAACCCCGAAATTTTCTACTTTTAGCTATAAAAAATATATCGTAAACTCAAAGTTAGTCCTAAATTTAAGCCAAAATGTATTCTGCTACATGCTTTTGGTAAAAAAAAAATCCCATTAAGTGTATATTGATTGCTTTGTGTGAAAGTTATAGCGTCTACAAACTATGGTATAGATACTGTAATTTATGCCTTTTTTTTTGCTATACAGCGCTGCGCTAATTCAAATGATAATTCCGCGGTCATGCAATGCTGTACATAAATGAAATTTACGTCCTTTTGGCCACTAAATTTATAGGTAACTAGTGCGGCTCACGGGGAAAAAGAGCGCCTGGCTGTCAGGAACTGCTTGAACCTCTACAAAAAATTTACTGACAAGTGCTAACAGAGATCAGGCCTGATTCTGTGAACACTGCGGTTTTGTGTGTAATGTATCAAGTGACAGTTATCTACTGACACTGCACTTGCTGGGGGAGAAGGGGGGGACGTAGGGGCTAAACACAGTTGCTGGCAGGTGCCGGGGCTGATCCCGCTAACGCTGCGTTTTTGGGAATACTATAGTAATGTGAACGCTGGTATAGCACTGATCTGATCAAAGAAATTGATCCAATCAGACACTGTACTAGCAATGGAGGTTTAGCATGCAAGTGAGCATGTTCCTGGCAATCAAGGGGTCAAATGTGATTACTTGTCTACTAGTGGCATTCTGACGCTATCTGGGAGGGGCGCTAACTGACGCTAACACTATCGGAAGTCACCAATACAGAAGACACTAATACAGTGATCAGTAAAAATCTGTTCACTGTAATCAATGACACTGGTGACAGGACAGTGAAGGGGTTAACTGGGGGGCGATGAAGGGGTAAATGGGATTACTGGTGCACTAGCGGGCAAACTGGCGCTATCTGGGAGGGGCACTAACACTTTCGGAATTCGCCAGCGACACTAATACAGTGATCAGTAAAAATCTGTTCACTGTAATAAATGACACTGGTGACAGGGCAGTGAAGGGGTTAACTGGGGGGGCGATCAGGGGGTTAAATGTGTCCTAGGCGTGTTCTAACTGTAAATGTAGTGCTTTTTACTTACAATTCTTCTGTCTTCTCTGTCTGGAACGGAATGTGCCCAGGCAGAGAAGAATGACATCATATCCTGTCCTGTGTAACTGTCAACACAGGGCAGGATAGGACAGGGACCGATCATCCGATTTCAGCCGGACATCACTGGCTGAAACCGAATGATTGATCCCTCGGGGGGATCGAATAGTGACACCTGCGGGTCGGCGGGGGCGTGTGCGCGCCCCCCCCCCTGCCCGCGAAAACCTCGGGAGTGCAGGACACGTTTAAAAATGTGGTTTTGCGCAGCCGTGCCGACCTGCCACCGTTTTAGTACAGTGGCTGGTCGGCAACAGGTTAAGATGGCAATGAAGTTGAACAGAAAAAAAGAATTGTAAAAAAAAGTAAGTAAATAACAAAAATTTACGGCACATCCTGTAAACCTGAGTCTGTTGGTCAGTCAGTCCTGTATCCCCAGATTCGCTGTAGGCCATTACAACACAGCCTTCTAGATGTGTGGGACAAGCAAACTTCTGTGGATAAGCTGATGTGCTTGTCAACAGAAGCCAAACTCTATCTAACATGGATATATGTTCTGTCACTGAAGTCAGAAAGGTGCTTTCTGCTCTTGGCTTGAAAAGTGATTGCGATGAATGCCAGCCTGTCGGTTGGGGAAGTGTCTTCCAGTCAGCAATTGATATATAGGTTATTTGGTTGGTTTACAATCCTGACTTTCCATAGATTTTTGGAATTCAGAGCTATTCATCTCACTCTTCAGAAGTGGACAGGATGCCTTTGGGTACTGTAGACAACGCAACTGCAATGGCTTACTTAACTCACCAGTGTGGGACCACAAGTCCCATAGCTTGAAGAGATTACTTGATTTTGCAGTGGGCATAACATGTTCAGGCCTCGTTAGCCACACATATTCCATGTATGGAAAATTAGCAGGCAGAATTTCTCAGGCCCCAACAGCTGGAGAGGGTGGTCACTGCCCTCAGTGTTTTGGGACATTTGTTGGTGATGTGGAATACTGAATATAAATCTTCTAGCATCACGTTTCAGTCACAGTGTAGGTTTTGGTATCTTTCTTGGTTCCCAAGGGCATTGTGGTGGGTTTTCTGGTGAGTGTGTGGGATCAGTTCTCCCTTTTTATATATGCATTTCCATCCCTAAAGATTCTTCTTTACCTGCTGTGCTGGTTCGAGTCAAAAAGGTTTTCCAATGAATTTTGTGGCTTCAAATTGACCAAGGAAAATGTGGTTCGTGGACGTACTTTGGCTTCTCATAGATGTTCTCTGGCCTTTACCAGATCTCCAGGATCTACTGTCTCGGTGACTGGTGTTCTACCTGCTTCTCAACTGCTGGCTTTGACAGCTTGACTGTTTGAAGCCCAAGCCCTGCAGGATAGGTCTAGCTGAATTGGCTCTCCTTATGCTTTTTAGTGCCAGGAATTCGACATCTAATTGTACCTGGAAGGGATATTTTGCCTTGTGTGAACAGCAGAAGGCTAGTCCTCGCCAGTACTTTGTAGGTCATATTTTTTTTTCAATTGGAGTTGGATCAACAACTGGCCCTGGTTATGATTAGATGCCAGATATCCGCTTTAACTAATCTTTTTCAATGGCCTTTGGCATTTCACTCCATGTTGAAGACTTAGTACAGGTCGTTGCTCATGGCATTCCCCCTAGACATTCACCAGTGGTTTAGTGGGACCTGAACCTGGTTCTGTTGGCTCTGCAGGCTCCTCCTTTTGTATTTCAATGGTTTTTATTAATTTATAACAATTTACACAGGAGAAACAAACCACGCCTACGCAGGGGCTATCAATTGCACATAGAGGAACTAGATATTAGAGAAATCAGTGAAATTAGACCAACAGGGCAAAAGATACACCCACGCAGGGCCCATCAATGGCACTTAAATAACAAAACATAGACATAACACTGATAGTAACTCAGACTAAAGGCAGCTATCCACTGCCACACCAAAGCAAACAGAGAAAAAAAAGGGGGAAAAGGAAGGAGAAGTACAAAAGAAAAAAAGGATAGCCAAACCAAGAGCAGGGATCCAAGAACGCCAAAGTCAAACAACATCACTTCCCCAGGCTAGCCGGGGGCAGGCTCCTCCTTTTGAGCCTGTTATGGATATATTCTTGTCTGACTTTACTTATAAACATGGTTTTGTGATTGCATTTACCTCTCCCCAGAGGGTGGCAGAGTTGGCTGCCTTATACTGTATGGAGCCTTTTCTATCTATTCAGAGATGTGCTCTACTACCTACAGAGGTGTCTTCTTTCAACCTCAATCAAGACATGGTTTCTGTAATTTTTGTCCTGCTCCAAAACGCCCTTGGGAAGTGATGCTTACTCTGAATGTCATTTCAGCTGTTAAAGTATACCTTGCAGCCATGACTTTCAATTTAAACCATCTGAATGCCTCTTTGTGCTTTGGGGAGATCTTGCAGGGGGGAGGGGGTTCCTGCATTTTGTTCCAGCACTGCTAAGCTGATCTGTCGGGTTGTGATTTGGACCTCTTTGACCAATGTTGGAGTGCCTCCCTTTCCAGTTAGTGCTCATTCTACTAGATCTTTCATAAGCCTGATGTAAACAAGCCCAGAATGCACTGTTTCAGATTTGTAAAGCTGCCACCTGGTGTTGAGCTCACAAGTTTACCAAATTTTACTGGGTAGATTTTCAAACCTTGGCCAAGTCAGCTTATAGTCGCAAGATTCTTCGGGCTGCTGTTTTATTCAGGTTTATGGACCCTTTTCAGTTTGCCCATGTCTTATATTGTACTCTTATAAATAGATTTTACAGGTCAGTCAAAAACCCAATTTTTATTTCCAGTTTGTAATACAACAAAACGGGAAAAACTTGACTATGCTTCTGTAGCATGTGTTTATTATTTCTTGTTCATGCAGTCATTTTCTGTTTTGCCTTTCATTTCAGCTTTGCCTTTAGTCCAAGTGGATGAGAAGGGTGAGAAAGTAAGACCGAATCAAAATCGGTGTATTGTGATTTTGCGGGAAGTTCCTGAATCTACTCCTATAGAAGTAAGAATAAAGTGTCTCAGTAATTCATTGTTGTAAGTTTGTTCAGGGGCATCTTTTGCTCCTAAAATGTGTTTTTTTGTTTTTTTTTTTTTTTTGTTTTTTTTTTTCCCACCATCCTGTTTTTAGGGCAAGAAATAGTCTTCGTAGTTTTTATATTTGGTGGTTTTATGTGATGAAATGGAACATCTACAGACCCATGTGTTGTAAAGTTGTTTACTTTATTAACTGTCTGAATTTTGATGCCAGAGCTTTCTCCAGTGACAGTATAGCAGAAAAATTTAATGTGCTGATTGTTTATTTTCAGAAAACATCAGTTTTATCAAGCTAGAGGTTCATTTGCTAGAATGTTGTCATCAACAAAGGACGAGGGAGTAGCTGTTGATTTAAGTGGGAATTTCTGCAAATTAATTATTACATTGATGTCTGAAAATCATTGCCCAGCTTACATTCAGCTTGTCTGCATCCTACAGTGTAACTACAGACCACAGCTGTAAATAGGAAAGACATTCTATGTAACTGCTTGAGTCAGTGTCTTCAGTGCCAGGAGCCATACACATTAATTGCTAGCAACAAACAATGTTATCTAAGACAGACATGTTAAGCTGGTGCATTTTGGGCTGCATGCGGCCCCTTCCTGCATTTTTGTGAACCTCAGCGGTTTAAGAAATACATTTTAATAAGGCCCAGCTCTTCTTCGCTTGATAAAGGTTATACTTATGTAAGTTTGTATCTGAAGACTTCAGGAAATATTTTATGGACCCCTTTCTCTGGTTTAATACAGCTTTAACTACCATATCAGCCCAAACTACACTTTTTTTTTTGTCATATTGCAGCTTACATATTTTTGGATGTGGTGGCTTTTTTAAGAGTTGTTCCCCTTTTTCACCTGTGGTTACAGCTAGTAAGTTTTTTTTTTTTTTTTTCTTTTTTTTTTCTTTTTTCAGCATCTTTTAACACAAACCAAGTTGTCCAGCAAAGTGTTAGGCTTTAAATGGTTTTTCAACCTTCTTAACGAAGTATTTCGTTTAAAAAAAAAAAAAAAAAAATTAAAGCCGAGCACCACCCAAAAACGGAAGTTCCGCTTTAAGGACTGCTCCCCATTAAGAATTGGCACCTTTGGGGAGCGGGGTGGGTGGGCGGGAGCGGGTACCTGAATTTGACAGGTACCCGCTCCCACTTCCGGTCCGATCGCCTAGGCCATCGGAAACTGAAGGTGTCCTCCCTCCCTCCCTGTAGTCTTTTGGGACACGTGACAGGTCCCCGAAGACTACAGAACCATTCATAAAGCACAGCGCTACTCGCGCATGTGCAGTGGCTACCCGGCTGTGAAGCCGCAAGCTATCACAGCCGGGTGCTCACACTGAAGAAGCCGGGCTCCTGGAATCCAGGACGGCCAGTGAAACGGGCTGCAGGGGACACACCGAGGGACAGGTAAGTGGCTGTTTTTTTAAAAGTCAGCAGCTACAATTTTTGTAGCTGCTGACTTTTATTTGTTGATAGGTCGAGTGGAACTCCGCTTTAACTCCATTCAGAGATCATGTTTCATTTATAGACTAAATGACAAGTATGGCCTCTGTGATTGGGGGGGGGTTGCAGGAAAGACAGGCACATTTGGGCATTTTAGATGAGTACCCATCACAGCTGCCTCAACTCAGTTAACCCCCCCCAACACACTGGAAGCTTACAGCTGCAGGGGGATCAGAGGAGGCCGTTTTCTATTAAACTAGGATAAAATAGAATCCTCAGACAGTAGGTTTTGTCCCTTGTGCTGGTTTTTTTTTTTTTTTGCTATAAATCGAGGATTTAAAATTGATGCTGGTGCTTACAGTGGACAGCTTTTATTCATGTAAAACCTTTATCCCTAAAGGGGAAAAAACCTCTTGCTCTAGTTACTTAGACTTGACTAACAAATTAAAACTGAACTTCTGTTAGTACTTTTATCGGTATCTGCTGGTGGATCGAACACTACCGTCTCTGCGAGTGACATTGCTGCTGTCCAAAGGTGTCTCTCTGTTGCTTTTCCATCCAAAGTGGATCCACCCTAAGACAGGCAGTGTGTTACTAGCTGGATCGACAGGTAAAAATAATGGAAAAGAGCCTAAAAAAGAAAATGCGGCCCCCAGATTTTGGAATTGGTATGCTGCAGTGTTTTTATTTTGTTTTTGGGCCTAATACCACTTTAACAAAAAAGTAATTTTTGTAACTTACAAGGCATTGCAATTGGGTGTGGCCTTGACATTTTGTGGTCCTTTGAGGATTTATGCCACCTAATCTTTGCCTACTGTTTTTTTTTTTAATTTACTTTTTTACCTTACGCTCCATGTACTTTCAGATAGCTGGGGTAGAAAATTAGGTTGTTATGAATGTATTCTCTTACATTCATTCAGCAGCTGTTTAACAGATTATAAATCCAGTGAGTACATAAGTTCATAGTTACAGAAAATACCTTTTTTGCTTCGGTCTCAGAAAACTTTGGATGGAACAGGTATGTGGAGCACATTCCTTCCTTGTCCTCATTCCATAACTGCACTTAATTTGTCGATACAGAAGACTGAATACAGTCAGTACCATGATACTTTGGCCAGGACTGATATGGCAGTAATATTGCAGTACAAGGGAAAAAGGCAGAGGTCAAAATTTGTATTTGCAAATTGTGTTATCTGGTGTTTCTGTATGTTAGCTAATGTTTTATGGAGTACAGTTTTCAAGTGAATTATCCCCTTTAACATGTTCATTCTTGTGCAACAGCTTTACCATACATGGTTCCTTTTTTGGTTTGCTGTGTTTTTAGGATGTAGAAGCCCTCTTCAAAGGTGAAAACTTGCCGAAATTTGTTAATTGTGAATTTGCCTATAATGACAATTGGTTCATTACTTTTGAATCAGAAGCAGACGCACAACAGGTAATATGTATTTCCACTGCCAGTTTAAAATTAGTTGGCTGTGTGCTTCAGTGAGTTTTTTGCACTGTTAATGCAGTTCACAGAACATGTCTATAATATAAAATTGTGATACCAATGTAGCTCACTGGAAAACATTAACATCATCTCTTAGCAAAAATGTATGCTTGGTAACAGAAATGATGTCCCTTAAATGTCATTAAATATGGGACCTATGGGGGTTTATTTACTAAAACTGGAGAGTACAAGATCTGGTGCAGCTCTGCAGAGAAACCAATCAGCTTTCAGGTTTTATTGTCCTCTTAACCTCCTTAGTGGTATTCCCGAGTGTAGCTCGGGGTAAACTTTCAATACCAAGAGCGGTAACCCCGAGCTACACTCGGGCTTACCATGCGGCGTTGCTCAGAGGGTCCCTGCAGCACTTACCTTGTCCTTCGCTCCCGTGATGTGTCCCCTGCAGCGTCCCCGGCCACCTCCTCCGGCCGATGCCAGCATCCGGCTTCCGTGTTCCGGTCCCTGTGACGGCGGGAAATTTGAAATTTTTTAAAAATGTCATTTTTGCTGTCATTGCTGTTTCAATGCATTTCACATACATTTTGTCCCTACTGCTTTGTCCTGCGCCCTGCCTGCATTTTGACTGTTCTTTCTGCCTGGAAACTTAGAAAAGTCCATGGCGTTCAAAAAGCGTCCCTTTACGTCAAAAGTGGTTTTAGAACAGCGATAGTAAATGAGAACCACTTGAAGAATTGAGTGATTATTATTATTACATCTAGTTTATATAGCGCCAAAGGGTTTGCTCAGCGCTGTACAATAGAGGGGTGGACAATACATGAAACATTACAGCACCTACTAACAGCACACGAGGGGTTATAGGGCCCTACTCTTTCGAGCTTACAATCTAGGAGGGAGGGGGTAGTGGTACAGGAGGAAGTGGCTGTGGGGAATGAAGGAGAGCAGCAGTTAGGTGAGGGTGGGGTAGGCTTCCCTGAAGAGGTGGGTTTTCAGGGAGCGCCTGAAGGTGAGGAGGGAAGGTGACAGTCTGATGGATTGGGGTAGTGAGTTCCAGAGGATGGGGGAGGACCTGGAGAAGTCTTGCAGACGTGCGTGTGAGGAGGAGACCAGGAGCAAGATAGGAGGTCCTGTGAAGAGCGAAGGGTAGGGTGGTACTTGGGAATCAGGTTGGCAAGGTAGTTAGGGGCAGTGTTGTGAATGGCTTTGTAGGTCAGAGTGAGTAGTTTGAATTTGATGCGTTGGGCGATAGGGAGCCAGTGGAGGGATAGGCAGAGGGGGGTGGCAGAGGTGGAGCGGGTGGTGAGGTGGATGAGTCTGGCCGCTGAGTTCAGGATGGTCTGAAGCGGGGAGACCCTGCACTGGGGGTAGGCGGAGAGGAGGGAGTTGCAGTAGTCAAGGCGTGAGATAATCAGGGAGTGTACGAGTAGTTTAGTGGTGTGTCTGGGGTAAGGAAGGTGCGTATTTTGGCGATGTTCCAGAGGTGGAGCCTGCATGTTTTGTAAGTGATTTGACATGAGGTTGGAAGGAGAGGTTAGAGTCCAGAATGACTCCAAGGACTTTGGCTTGCGGGGCGGGATTGATGGTGGTGATGTTAGTAGTGATGGATAGGATGGGGGGGGAGGGCGCGGGCAGGAGGGAAGACGAGAAGCTCTGTTTTGGAGAGGTTGAGCTTGAGGAAATGGAGCGACATCCAGTCAGTGATGTCGTTTAGGAGGTGAGTGGATGCGGGCGGAGAATGTGGGGGGTGAGGGGGGTGGAGAGGTAAATTTGAGTGTCATCAGCGTAGAGGTGGTAGTTGAAGCCGTGGGAGTGTATGAGTTTGCCATGGGAAGGAGGTGTAGATGGAGAAGAGAAGGGGTCCAAGGACAGAGCCCTGGGGGACCCCAACAGAGAGAGGGGAGGGAAGGGGAGGTGGCACGATTGTAGGAAACGCTGAAGGAGCGTCGGGATAGGTAAGAGGAGAACCCGGAGAGAGCGTTGTCTCTGATGCCAAGGGAGAGTAGTTTATTAAGGAGGAGGGGGTGGTCAACTGTGTCGAAGGCCGCGGGGAGGACAGAGTAGTCACCTTTGGCTTTGGCGGTTAGTAGGTCGTTGGTGATTTTGAGGAGGGCGGTTTCGATGGAGTGTAGGGGACGGAAGCCGGACTGTAGTGGATCAAGGAGGTTGTTGTCAGTTAGGTGGGCGCTTAGGCGGTCGTCGTGGACTAAGCGCTCCAGGAGTTTGGAAGTGAGTGGCAGCAGGGAATGGGTCTGAGGTTGTTTGGGTCAGAGGGGTCCAGGGAGGGCTTTTTGAGTATGGGGGTGATGTGCGCATGCTTTAGGGGGGAGGGGAATACGTCGGGTAGAGAGGGAGAGATTGAAGATGTGGGTGAGGGAGCAGATGAGGGAAGAGGGGGGTGACTGGAGGAGTTGAGAGGGGATAGGGTCCAGGGGGGCAGGTAGTGAGGCGGGCTTCTGAGAAGACCCTGGTGACTTCCTCAGTGGTAGCGGGGCTGAAGGAGTGCAGAGCTGGGGGGGGGTTTTACGGTAAGCGCGGGGTCTTGGGTGTGGAGGGGGGCATGCGGTTGCGAGGTCAGAGGAGGGAAGAGATGAGGGGGAGATAGGGGGGGGGGGGGCTAGGTGGGGAGGTAGATTGCGAGTTGACTATGTCCTGACAATCTTGTTGTGGAAATGAGTGGCAATTTCGTGGGCGGTGAGTGAGGTACTGAGTGGAGGGGGGGGGGGAGAGAGAGTAGGGAGTTGAAGGGGTGGAGAAGAGTCGCGAGGAGCAGGAGGAGGGTGTTGATCAGGTTTACGAAGTAAGCCTGCTTGGCGGAGTGGAGGGAGGAGGTGTAAGTGAGGAAGGCAGCAGATTTGTAGAGGTAGAGAATGAACGGGGGGACCTGGTTTCGCGCCATAGTCTCTCTAGCGCGCGACTGCGGCGTTTGAGGCATTTAGTGTGGTTGTTTCTGCCATGGTTGGAGCGGTCTGGGTTTGATGTAGCGTGTGGTTAGGGGTGCCAGAGAGTCTAGGGTAGCTGATAGTGAGTCGTGTACGTGTTAGTGGCTAGGTCAGGACATTGACAGTGGAAGGATGCTGTCGTGTGTAGGCGGGGGCAGCTGAGTGGAGGGGGGCCGGATTCAGGTTGCGAAGGTTGCGGGCTGGTGATGGTTTGGCGCTCTGAGGGGGAGTTAGGGGAAGGGGAGATGGAGAACGTGAGGAGGTGGTGGTCGGGAGGAGGGAAGGGGGTGTTAGAGAACTGGTTGAGGGTACAGAGGTGGGAGAAGATGAGGTCCAGGGTGTTCCCAATGATGTGGGTGGAGGATTGAGTGTGCTGTGTGGTGAGCGCGAAGGAGGAGGTTAGGTGAGGAGGGGGGGAAGTAGCCGGGCTGTTGTCGTTGATGGGGATATTGAAGTCCCCGAGGATGATGGTTGTAGCTCAGAGGAGAGGAAGAAGGGAAGCCAGGCGGCGAAGTCAATCCAGGAAGCGGGGTATGGATCCGGAGGCCTGTAGATCACTGCGATCCTTAGGGGGGGGGGGGTGAAGAGCCGGATTACAGTGAGCCTCGAAGGAGGGAAGGTTAGGGAGGGAGGGTTAGGGAGGACCTGGAAGGTGCTCAGCGGTGATAGGAGCAGGCGACCCCACCCACCTTTGTGACCGCTTAGTCTTGGTGAATGGGACCAGACGAGACCTCCATAGGAGAGTGCCGCAGGGGAGGTGGAGTCAGTGGCCTGTACCCATGTTTCGGTGATGGCTAGGAGGTTAAGGGAGTGGGAGATAAAGAGGTCATGGATGGCAGTAAGTTTGTTGCAGACCCAAGCGGTCGGGCGTTGCAGGAGTGCAACCGAGAGAGGGGGGATGGATGCGGGGGAGAAGGGCACAGGTATGAGGTTGAGGGGGTTACGGCAGCTCGGAGGGAGCAGGGGGTCCCTAGAGGAGGGGTGAGGTGGCGAGGGGGCCAGGGTTCGGGGAGATGTCCCCAGCGGATAGGAGAAGGAGAAGGGTGAGAGAAATGGGGCATGGGGATGGGAAAGTGCAGGAGCATGTGGGTCTGATAGTGGTGGCACGTGGGTCGATGGGGGGAGTGGAGTAGGGAAGGAGGAGGTAGGTGGAGTGCCGTAGTGGGGAGAGGGGAGAAGTGGAAGGCAAATATAGAGCTGTTTTGGGGGGGTAGGCGGGGTAGAGGGAGGTGATTTTTGGGATGGGGGAAAGGAAACCGAGGAGGAGGAGTGCAGGAGGCATGTTGGGGTGGTGGAGTGACGGTTGGGTCAGGGGAGGTTGAAGGGATACAGGTCAGGGCAGGGTGATGTGGGGAATCTGTATTACCGTGGAGAGAGTTCATTTGAGTCCTTCTGTAGGGGTTAGAGTGAGGGTGGAGGGCGGCAGCTGGTTGGCAGCAGTCTGTGGGTGCAGTAAGCTGGCGACCGTGGGTGCTGTGGCATGTCTTCAGTGGGTACGGTGGTTCGGCTAGCGTAGGGGGTCGTAGGGTGCGATGGCTGGGGGTGTTGGTAGGCACGGCGTCTGGTGATGCTGGCGGCTTGGTGACTGGGGTTGTTGAGGCCAGGGTCAGGTGCTGCGGGCTCGGCGTTGTGAGGCGCTGAAGGTGTTGAAGGCGCAGCGTCAGGAGGTGTTGAAGGATCGTCGTCAGGGTCGAGCGGGGGGGCGGTTAGAAGGCGTTTCGGTAGCGATCGTCGGCCCTGCGTGGTTTGTGCTCAACCGTGATCTGTTGCGGCCGGTAGGAGAGACCGCGGCTTCAAGGGTCGTGGTGGGCCACTAGTCGCCGGGGCATCGCCAGAGGGAATAGCGTGCCGGAAAGCAGGGTGCTGGGCGAGCGGTCCCTGGTGGGGTGGCTGGCTGGTAGTCCCAGGTGGGGTGGTGGGCAGGGGCATAATCCTGGTGGGGTGGTGGCCGTGCTATCCCTGGTGGGGTAGTAGCGATCCCTGGAGGGATAGTGGCTTAGGGTCCCTGGTGGTTTGGGGTTTCCGGTGGATGGTGGATCCCTGAGTGAGTCC